GAGAGAGAGAGAGATCTGAGGAACGTTCCTTTCCAAAGCTAAATCCTTCAAAAGCTAAACTGAGGCTCTTGTAGAAGGAATGCTGGCAAGGGGGGACGGATCTGCTACAGAAAACTTACTGCAACGAGCACACCGCTACCCTCCGACTGGATATTCGTCATGAAGATAAAGGTGCACAGGTGAGCTTGTGTTCAGATGTATTACAAAAGTACGGAGTTCACATCATGATTTGTAGAATGAAAGGTAGCAAAATGGTACGGGTCTGCTACGAAAAGGCTTACTGTCACGAGCGAGATCTCTGAAGGGTTACCCACGTGCTAACGCCCTAACTTCTGCAGCAGCAAATGGTGAACTTGAGCAATTCCTTGATAAGGTAGTAGTGACAAGAGAACCTTCGAGAAACTCAAAAACTGAAGAAATAATCTTTAGCTACTTTAATGTAATTATATGAAGTTCTCCTATCCCACAGCCTGCATGTGGACCTCATGCTACTTGTAGGCGACACAAGAGGGGTACAACGCTACTGTCGCCTGGCAGTCGCAACTAGTTTTACAAAAAAAAACTTCGGAAGGAAGCGGACATGGAGAAATCCGAACAGAAGCAGCCGTTGTGAAACAAACCACGTTCTATGTTCAAACTTGAATTCTGTTTTGCGTGAGTGCATGCCTGTAGTATACGTATGCGGAACATGAGCGTTAAAGAAGGCGCATGAAAAATGTTCAGCACACCGGATCGCCGCTGTTCGAGGATCTCCGCACAATTTCGTTACTTAATCAGCGATTTCATCTGTTTCTTTCACTTTTCTATGAGATATGTGTATTCTGTGCCTAAAAACGTGTTCTGATAACTTCGGAGCATGAATAAGATGCCAAATAGACCGTATGAAACGGCGCAGAGAGAAAAAAGTATGACACACCATGTGTGTCACGCGGTCCGAAACGTGTTAAGGAAAACTCGCGAAAAATGCAGGCTCCGGGTTAGTAACAAAGTATCATACACAGCCATAAGAGAAAACAGGCAACTAAAACACGTTGTTTGCGAACCCAGAAAACGCAGTTGGATCTACGTGAGAGATCGAACACGATGGGAAGTTCGATTGTTGAATTGGAAGCCCTCCGGAAATAGAGCAGTCAGCAAGGCCACGAATAAATGGGAAGCCGATTTCAGGATGGTTGCTGGAAGAGACCGGAGGAGCATGGCGGCAGCTTCTGAATGGTTTCAGAGCATGACCCGTCTTCTTGTCAGGTCAGATGAGTAGCGGAAATTAAATGGTTACGGAAATTTGAAGCATCTACCCTATAAACAGAGAGATCGGGTCAATGCACCTACATAGAACCCCAGCGATGTCCACATCCCATAATAAGACACCAAGGAACGAGCCTTCAACCCTGACATTTGCGAACCAGGAAAACGACGGTTGCCCAAGGACGCAGCGACCAATATCGCGCCTATATCCTTACATTCTATAAAGCACTAACTTTGTGTGTCGGTTTGTCGGTATGTATGTATGTATGTCGGTTTGTATGTCTGTCCGTCCGCAAAATGCTTCACGGGATTAAACAGGTTAGTGAAAGAAGAAAACGACCGCTAGCCAAACCGGGATTC